TTTTTTTTGAGTTGGAGTCTCACTCTGTTGCCCAGGCTGGAGTGCAATGGCATGCTCACGGCCACAGCAGCCTCAACCTGCTGGACTTAGGCGATCCTTCTGCCTCAGCCTTCCAAGTAGCTGGAACTACAGATGCCCAGCTAGTTTTGTGATTTATTGTAGAGATGAGGTCTCACCAAGTTGCCCAGGCTGGTATCAAACTCCTGGACTCAGGCAGTCCTCTCACCTGGGCCTCCCAAAGTGCTGGGATTACAGGCTCGAGCCACCAAGCCTGGCAGCTACCTCCTTTCAATTTTGTTTCTATGAAAAGTCAGAAGAAGTAAATCCATACAGTCAAAACCCAGATTGGTAGTTACCAGAGGCCAAGGAGAGAGGGTCATGGGTGGGTCTGCTGACCAGGGGTGGGGTTGCCCTCTGGGGTGAAACGTTTTTGGAACTAGATAGAAGTGGTGGTTGCACAACCTTGGGAATGTACAAAGTGCTGCTAAATTGTTTTTAAATGATTAGTTTTGTGTTATGTGAATTTCACCAAAAGAAAAAAAAAGGGGGATACATTTGTATTCATGTTTTTGTGGAGTAGCAGTATGAAAGTGGGGATGGGACACAACAACAGCTTCAGGACAAAGGTCTCCTCTGGGAGGGGATGGGTTGGGGTTTAACTACAGCTGCTATACTTGCATATTAAAAAAGCAGTGATAGGAATACAATACAGCAGACCCAATGTTTGCTATACAGACAATAATATATTCTCTATATTTGAAATTTTTCATTAGTTAAAAGAAAAAATGTGTAAGTAATTGTAGAAAGAGAAAAAAGGGGTATCGTACGCCTGTTGTTCCGGCTACTGGGAAGGCTGAGGCAGAAGGATCGCCAGAAACCAACAGGTCAACACTGGGGTGGCCGTGAGCATGCCACTGCACTCCAGCCTGGGCCACAGAGTGAGATTCCAACTCATAAAGGAAAAGAAAAAAGGAAAGAAGAAAAGGAGTGAGGGAGGGGAGAGGGGAGAAGCAAAGAGGGGGAAAGAGAGATGGGGAGCGGAATTTGTAAGCACTTCTGAGTCCAGCTGAGTCTCAAAGCTGTTTCCAGATCACCGTAGAGCCTTGCAGGGCTGAAGACCCATGCTGGATGGTAGGCCACAGGTAAACAGTGGTCAGACCATCAAGTGGACCACCAGGAGTGACCACAAAAGGCGAGACCTGAAGTCACTGAGGGCTGGGTGGTGGCTTCTGTCCCTGCTGTCCAGCGAGGGGAGTAAAATGAGAGCTGCCGAAAGAGCTGCACTGTCTGGTCCCCAGCCCCACCCAGCCCCTGTCCAGGTCCCACCCATCACAATGACAAGACAGCAATGGAAGCAAAGAAAAGCTAGGAGGCCAAAGAGAGAGGCAGACAGGCACATGCAAGCTGGAGGCTTCTCTCAACTCACACACTTCAATTTCCCTTATGTGAACAGTAACAAGGGAACTTCATAATTAGCAATGCCTCCTTGACAATGCAAAGCCTTCTGTAGGCACAGGGTCTCAGGAGCTAGAAATGATATCAAAGAAAACTATTATTGTTCCTTTTTGAGACATTGTATCACTATGTTGCTCAGGCTGGAGTGCAGTGATATAATCATAGTCTTAAACTCCTGGGCTGGGCGATGCTCCAGCCTCAGCCTCTCAAGTAGCTAGGACTATAGGCGCATGCCACCATGGTTAGTTTTTTAAAAACAATTTTTGTAGAAGACAGGGTCTTGCTATGTTTCCCAGACTGGTCTCGAACTCCTGGACTCAAGCAATCCTCCTGCTTCGGCCTCCCAAAGCATTGAGATTACAGACATGAGCCAGGGCACCTGGCCAAAAACTATTTTTAGTGTAGAATGTTCTGCAGCACCTTTCCTCCAGTCTACTGAAGGACCGACTCTTACTTTGTTTCTGGAAAGCTTCTTAAACTATATCTTTAAGTATTCTGATACCTTAAGTGTGTTTCTTCTGTCTTCCTGTTCTTAATAATTTTCTTATTGATTCTTTTTCCCTCTTCATTTCCATTTCATTTTGGCGAGATTTCTTCTTCTGGCCCCTGCGCTCAGCACTGTCCTTTCTTCCTGTGATGTTTCCAAGATTGACTTCGCATCTAGAATTCTCCATATATTCACCTCTTGACTCAGTTCTGCCATCTCAATTTCATCGCAGCTCTCTCTACCTCATTAATAATTTCCTGAGCTTCTGGAGCTTTCCTACATTTTATATATTTGTGTAATTTGTAGCAAGTTTTGGTCACAGACAACATTCATCTGTTCTGTGCAATGTTCTGCCTCTGTTGTGATTATTATTATTTTGTAGTCTCTTTTTTGAGTTGGAGTCTCACTCTGCCACCTAGGCTGGAGTGCAGTGGCATGCTTACAGCCACCACAGCTTCGACTTGCTGAGCTCAGGTGATCCTTCCGCCTCAGCCTTCCAAGTAGCTGGAACTACAGGCACCATCACACCCAGCTAATTTTTCCTGATTTTCATGATTCTAATATGCAGCCAGAGTTGAAACTGACAGCCTAGGGTATCCCCACTCAAATGAATCCCACTGACAGGGGGTTCCCATCTGGTCACATCTTCACCAATACTTGGTGAGATTCCTGCTTGGTCTTCCCTCCCCAACATGAGAGGCAGCTGGGAGGCTGTTTTTGTAGACGAGGTCTCGCCAAGTTGCCCAGGCTGTCCTCTCACCTTGACTTCCTAGAGTACTGGAATTATAGGCATGAGTCACTATGCCCGACCTGTGGTCTCTTTATAGAGGACACTGTATTGATTCCAGTTTTAAAATTTTGAATAAAATGATAACTGGGCCAGATGTTCCCTGAAGGGTCCATGTCAGGTAGTTGCAGGACTTTGTTCATTTTCCTTATGATTGAGAATTTTTTTTTCTTGAGTTGGAGTCTCACTCCATCGCCCAGGGGCCGCTCCTGGAGTGCAGTGGCCGCTCCTGGAATTACCTGGTAAAGAGCCTCTCACCTATGGGGCTGTGGGGGGGGTCCCTTTTCTTCTCAGTCAAGGCTGGAGGCCCAGGTCAACCCTTGAGATTATCGCCAGGACTGCCACAGCTGGGCAGCTTTGTTTTCCTACCTCAGATATTCGTAGCTGAATAAACCTGGGAAAGTTTTGCTAAGATACTAATGCCCCAGGCCTTACTCCAGAAGGTTCTGACTTATCTGGTCTTTGAAAAGAGACCACAGGCCTACATGTTTTTGGTTTTCAAAGCTACTCAGGTAATTCTAATATGTAGAGTTGAAACTGACAGCCTAGGGTATCCTCGCTCAAACGAACCCCACTGACGGTGGGTTCCCACCTGGTCACATCTTCACCAATACTTGGCTTTTCCTCCCCAACATAAGAAGCAGCTGGGAGACTATTCACAAAGCAGTCTCTCACTCTAGCCCGACTAGGTGCTCCCTGCAGGGAGGCTTCTCTGTGAGCTTCTTCTAGCAGCCCCACTGCCTGCCTGTGCACTGGAAACCATGGTTACAAACAAGAGACAGTTGTGCAAATCAGGGTGTTCCTCACCCTGGAGCAGGCTTGCAGCCTCACCTGCTCTCTCATCTGCACTCTGACTCCAAGGCCTCTGCTCTCTGCTCCATTCCAAGTATTGTGTGGTTCCGTTTCAGCCTGCCTGTGCACTGGAAACCATGGTTACAAACAAGAGACAGTTGTGCAAATCAGGGTGTTTCTCACCCTGGAGCAGGCTTGCAGCCGCACCTGCTCTCCCATCTGCACTCTGACTCCAAGGCCTCTGCTCTCTGCTCCATTCCAAGTATTGTGTGGTTCCGTTTCAGCCGTCTCCTAACCCCAAGGAAAGTATGGTTTCTCTCTGCTGCCCACTCCACTTGCTGAAGGGGGAAGTCTCAAATGTACATTGCCAAGTTCTAAGCCAAAGACCTTAGGATGTCAAAGGGAAAAGTTGGGAGTCCCCAGCCCTGCCTCGGGCCTGCCTACTCGGTGTCCCAGGACATCAGGCACCAGTACTTCTAAGTGGTGCTCGGGTGACTGGTGGCAGCCAGTCACCCTCCTGGTCAGACATAAGATGAGGTTACATTCGGCGACTCCTGAGGCTGTGAACTTGCAGAAGGCTAAAACCTCCAGCCTGCCCGGCTCCCTCCTCACTGGGCAGAGCTGCAGCTGAACCCAGGCCCCTGTGTGCGCTGTGAACTGTCAAGGCCTCTTGCCACATTAGGCCCATCAGGGACTTTCATTATTTCTGCAAAACCTCTTCACTTACAAGGATGTAACCTAACCACAGCAGGGACCTCCTATCACATTCACAGGCACAGATCCTGCTCAAACTCTGGGGGAGGGGATCACACAAGGGTATGGGCCATGGGGCCATCTTAGAACTGCCTGCTACAGAGGCTTTGGGGTCCAATGAGAAGCTAGCCACAGTCACAATGAAAAACCACGAGCAGGGACCAGGATTTGCCAAAGCAAACTTGGAGAATCAGATCAAGTTTCAAGGACAGGTATCAATGAACGCATTTATTTACTGGTAAGATATAAAAACCAGGTCTCTTAAATCCCTTGATACCAAGTCCGTGTGGGTGGATACCAAGGAGAAGGAGGGGTCCCCTGCTCAGAGACTGTGTGCTCAGAGTTCTGTCCTGCTTCCCCCTGAATTCTCATCACCGGAGAGAGGCCTACTCCACAAGTGCAGGGTTGGCTCCATTTGTGTGAGACACCAAGTGCCTCCAGTGGTCCAAGCTGAGTGTGGGTGACTATGCCAGACATCACACACATGCACATACCCCCCTCTTTACAAAATATGCAGAATCTCAAGTTATCTCAAGATATGCAGAAGGATGCAAGTTTAATACCTCTAGGTTAACAGAAATGACAGGACACAGATGCTACAGGAAAATGAGAGTGGGAGGGGATAGAGGGATGCTGAAGAGCATCACAGCAAAGTATGTGACTCCGCTGGTGCCCTGACTCCTATCACCCAGAACTGCACACGGAGTAAAACGGCAACTCTGAAAGGCAAGTAGGTGGCAGCACTGCTGAGCTTAGAACGGGGCAGCGTCTGGAGGTTCGTCACAGAGTGCCAAGGACGCCTGGGCTCAGGAGTGTGGTGGCCAGCACGTGGACATCAGGAGAAGGGCTGCTCATGCTCCTCTCAACACGAGGTACAGAACTTGGTCTTGCTCCATAGCAGCACTGCACACCACTGCACCCCAGCCGGCTCCGCTCTGTCTACGGAGCACCCACCCTGCAAAGGGAATCTCAGTGGTGAGCAGACCCGGGCGGGAGCACAGTGGTGGGATCTGAGGGACAGGAGCGGGTCCCTCCTAGGCATCATGGAGATTGCTGGTGCTGAGCAACACCTTCTCCCCAGGCTTGAAGGCTGGCATGCCGAGGTAGGGGCAGCTGGCACAGCGGAATGCATCGCCCAGGTAGCACTGTTGAGAGAACAGGGAGATGAGGTCAGCATATCCCGGAGATATGAGCCAGAAGAAAGGAATTCCTAATATCTCCATGTGGCTGGAAATGGCTGAGTATGTTTGCAGGTCCAATTGGGACCCAAACACAAAGTTTTCACAATCTCTGGTTGCCTGAAAAATAGTAATCATGAAAAGTTCCTTAGGAGGCCATATTTCAATAGTCTTTTAAAAAATTATTATTTAAAAAAAATTTTTGGTGAAAATTGGGGTCTCACTGTGTTGCCAAGGCTGGTCTCAAATGCCAGGCCTCAAGCCATCCTTCTGCCTCGGCCTCCCAAGGTCCTGAAATTATAGCGTGAGCCACTGTGCCCTGCCTCATTAATTCTATATTCTAAGCAGTTCAAATCATAGCCAAGCTTGGCTAAACAACTAAATAACATCAGGTCCTACTCTGAAGTAGAAAGAAAGGGGCAAATAACAAACGACAAGAGTCTCTCCCCTGGGCATGAGAATGCCAACCTACTCTCAGGAGCTAGCATCTCTTTCCCACTGCCACCTACATGCTCTCACACACTCACTATTATGGAAACACTTTGAACAGTCAATTGCTCCAAAGTGGAGCTAGTCTCTCTGGAGGTTTTGAGAATGTTGGGTAATGACCCAGATATTTACATTTCCACAGGCTGACTTGGGTTGGGAGGTCTTCTGTTCCTTTGCCTTGTCTTTTTCCAGTTCTTCTGCGAGGCCACAGGTGCTGTGGGAAAATCAGTAGCTGATGAATGAGATTTTCCACTACCCAAAACTCCAAATCCCAACAGGGCCCACAGGAGCTCTAAGCCTTTTCTCTTTATACAAGGGTGTCATATCTCAAATGCCTATGGACCTGGCAGATTACAACACAGCAGGCTGCTGATAAGGCAGTGAGGGTGGCAAGGAATGAGGAGAAGGTGTACTCCCTGTCCACAGAGGGTGCAGGGCTCTGTCCAAAGAGGGCAGCCACTACTCAGCTTCAGCTGGCTATCAAGGAAGGAAAAGCAGACCCAGTTTGCCACATTTTCCAAATTCAAGAACAGAAAACAAACTTGTATTTTCACTTAGAATCTCCTGATTTGTAAATGCTGGCAGCTTTCACATTTACAAAAACATGGATGATTACACCTGTATGCCATCAGTTAACTTTCTACCACCTCTTCCATTCACTTACAAAGCAAATGTGAAAATACTAACACTAAAATTTCAGGTTAAGAGGATGAACTGGGCTGGGCACAGTGGCTCAGCCTGTAATCCCAGCACTTTGGGAGGCCAAGACAAGAGGATTGCCTGAGCCCAGGGGTTTGAGACCAGCCTGGGCAACTTGGTGAGACCTTGTCTCTCCAATAAATCACAAAAACACTAGCTGGGAGTGGTGGTGTGCGTCTGTAGTTCCAGCTACTTGAAAGGCTGAGGAGAAAGATTGCCTAAGCCCAGCAGGTCGAGACTGCAGTGGCCATAAGCGTGCCGCTGCACTCCAGCCTGGGCAACAAGAGTGAGTCTCCAACTCAAAAAAAAAAAGAGGATGAACTGAATGCTTATATCTAATTTTACTTTTCTCAAAACCCACCAAAACTTCAGTAAAGATGTAAAAACATCTATAGTAAAGATGTCTACAAAGACAGCTGTACAGGAGACGGAGGGGGCGTTGGCTGCACAGGTGGAACATGACCCATGTTACATCCAAAGCCTCGGGGATTTGGTTAGATTTCTAGAAGACCCTTCTCTGAGAAACCTAACGAATCCAAGAGAAAGGCCAAAGATACTGACTTTGGAGTGTCCCCCAGAAGGCCCACCCAAGGCCCCTTCAGTAAAGCCCAGTCACCAATTCCCTGTGCTCAGAGTACCCAGGGAGCTTTGTGAAATCAAGGCTCACCAGACATCTGAAGAAAGCCTGGCACAGGAATGCTGGAGCCTAAACTGAAAGAAAAGGCAACTTGGAAGAAAAAGAGTATGAAGGGAGAAAAAACTTTGAAAGAACTATCACTATCCAGCCTGGGTGACAGAGTGAGACTCCAACTCAAAAAAAATTTTAAAAAAAGAGAAAACAGAGAAGACAAAGCTCACAAACCAAATTAGAAATGGCTCCCAAGACTATGGACATGACTTTCTAGACTGAGATGGCACACTGAATGGTTACTGCAAAAGATGAAAACCACCCCTATTTAAGACATGCTAATTACAAAATGTCAAGGATAAAGAAGACTCTACAAACTTCCCCAATAGAACCAGAGCCTTATGCAAGAACTAAGGAGCAGAGGGCCTCAGATGCTCATCAGAACCACTAGAAGAAAGAAGACAACAGAACTGTCTCCAAAATTATATAAGAAAATTATTTCCAACCTAGACTTTTATCCCCAAATTACCAATCATTTATGAGTAGGAAAAAAGGCCTTTTCACACAAAGTCTAAAAAAAACAAGACAAAACTCACTTCCTAGGTATCCTTTAGTAGCTGTTCCACCAACACAAAAGAGGATGATGTGAGATGCAGGAAACAGAAAAGCTAACACAAAGCTGGGCAGGGAATCTTCAGTGGAATGGGAGTGGGGAGGGCCTCCCAGAAGAGCCGCAGACACAGTCATATGAGAGACAGACGTGTCACAGACTGCCACCATCCCAGTCCTTGCTGCCACCACAGTATGATTTTAACCCAGGACAGGCAAGCTACCCCAGATTCTGTTCTCAGCTACACTCAGCCATGTGCTGGTAGCATCTACCTTTCCCTCTACTTTCTGATGGACGCTCATCTTGCCCACAGAAGTATTCTGTTTTGATCCACTCCAGAGAGTGGATAGGGATGGGGAGCTTGGAGCAGAACAACAGAGAAGCCCACTCCTTCCCTTGGACCACATTCTGCTGGCTGCCCAGTGACTGCACCTCACCACGACCCTGCCAGATGCCCTCACTGCAGTATGCCCTTCATTTCCTACAATTCACTCAAAATGCTTCCTTCTAACTTTGTGGGAAGGAGTTCCAGTAGATCTCAAAGAAGCTGTGATCAAGCCAGGACCCCAAAGACTTTGTTCAGTTTCCCTTTTCCTGGGAGCCTTCATACGATGTGAGAATACTGAACTTATCTTACCCAGTCAGGCTTGGGCTAACTACTCAGTTCTTCACAACAAAATGACACATTGCGTGGAGACTCACACAGAGTGTAAACTATCAAACAAGCCAGGAATGGTTAACACCATCTTAGGAGGACAGTAACCTTTGTGCGAAGGGAATGAGATTCAGTTGAGGAAGCACACAGAGGCCACTTCTAGGGTACTAGTCATGTTTCTGTGAATTAGCCTGCGTAATCAGTACATGGGTGATTTTTTTTGTTTGTTTGTTTGGTTTTTTTTGAGTTGGAGTCTCACTCTGTCGCCTAGACTGGAGTGCAGTGGCCACTCCCGGCCACCGTAGCCTCGACCTGCTGGGCTCTGACAATCCTTCCACCTCCGCCTTCCAAGTAGCTGGAACTACAGGCATGCGCTACCACGCCCGGCTGATTTTTTGATTTATTGTAGAGATGAGGTCTCGCCAAGTTGCCCAGGTGGGTCTTGAACCCGCGGGCTCAGGCAATCCAGTCACCTCAGCCTCCCAAAGCGAGGGATTACAGGCTGAGCCACCGAGCCCGGCTAGGATGATTTTATTATTATTATTTTTTGAGTTGGAGTCTCACTCCATCGCCCAGGCTAGAGTGCAGTGGCACGCTCAAGGCTACCCCAGCGTCAACCTGCTGAGCTCTGGCAATCCTTCTGCCTCAGGCTTCCAAGTAGCCAGAACTATAGGCACGTGCTACCACACCTGGCTAATTTTTGATTTATTGTAAAGACGGGTCTTACCAAGTTGCCCGGGCTGGGCTCAGGCAATCTACTCACCTCGGTCTCCCAAAGTGCTGGGATTACACGCTGAGTTACCAAGTCCAGTCAATTTTATTATTCTTTAAAATGTACTTGTTTCATATACTCTACTACACACATGACACATTTCTCAATAAAACATGTTTTTAAAATAGCTCTGTGATTTACTTAAGTACCAGAAGCCGCTGGAAGTGGCATGGCAGACACCGCCCACTCTTATACTTACCAGTTCTTACAGGCTTTCCTCTTTTTCCCTTCCCCACATGAAGGAGCCCGCAGGGAAGCTGGATCTGGCTTCTTCAAATCTTCTGGATCTAGGAGCTCATCTGAGTCAATGAGATCCTGGAGTGTACGTGTACAAAGCAATTAGTGTCAAGTCATGATAATGAAAAGCTAAAGTGATCACAGTCCTGGGTGAGGACTAAACCTGACTTTTTTTCCTCCTATCCAGATTCCTAAGAGGCGGGGAGTCATGCCTGAATATTACCCTAAATGCTAAAGTTTGTTTTCCAACCTGACTCTTGCATAACAACATACAACCAATAAAGAAGAAACCAAAGGATCTTAAGGCCCTGCAAAGCCATCTCTTGGGGACTATCATACTCCAGGAACCCTGCAGGACACCTATCCATCCTCTCTGATGTCTGTCACATGTAGGACTCTACCTACATATTAACATACCTGGAGTTTTCTGCCCCTTATCTCAACAAAACATCTCTTCTACTGATGTTCAAGATTCCTTAGATAGGAACTACAAATTACCTCAAGAAATCTTTGAATCCACAGATAACCTGCAAGCCCTCATGCTTAGAAATGTTCTTCCTTCCCAGGCTGAACCAATGAAAACCTCACATGTATTGATTTATGGTTTTGGAAATTTCTGCCTCCCTAAAATTGTACATAACCAAGCCACCATTCAACATGGTGGGTACACCTCCTCAGGACCTCCTGAGGATGGGAGTTCCAGGGCCTGGTCCTCAAGTTCGGTTCAGAATAAGCCATCTTAAAATATTTTACAGCTTGGTATCTTGTGGTCAACAAGGGTAAAGAAAGCACCTGCCTTGTCCTACTCTGGGTTGATCTTCACGCCCAGCCTGACCACAGGCTCAAGAGGCCAGTAAACTGAACTATGTCCACAGAAGACGCATTAGGAAATGAAGGAATTGGGAATGAATTTACATGAGAAAAAACTAGACAGCAATGTGCTGAGACTATATACGTGGGGGGGGCGAGGGGTAGGAGGGAGCAAGCAGAGCAGAGAAGTGTTATATTTACTGGTCTGTATAAAGAGAGTCATGTGAAAAGGGAATCACATATTTTCTACATAACTACAGAGAAAAAGGCAAATAATTATACATTTGTGCAATTCTTTGTAAATGTGTGGCAATTACTCTGTAAGCTCTAGGAAAGCATGATCCACAACCTGTTTTGCATACCACCCTAACTTTGATGTAGAGGTGTGGAAATGAAGAACTGTGTTATAGACCGGGTTGATCAAAGATGGAGAGTATTCCTCCTGGGACAGTAAGCATCTAGTGATTTGCCCAAAGGGCCAATAAAAATATTTCAGCTCACAAACTCTTTTCAGGTTTACACATGCCCACAACTCTTTAATATACACACGAAGTGAGAACAAGAAAATCTTTGGAGAAGAGGGGTGTTAAAAAAAATAATTGGCTGGGTATGGTGACTCATGCCTATAATCCCAGCACTTTGGGAGGCCGAGGTGAGAAGACTGCCTGAGCTCATGGGTTTGAGAACAACCTGGGTAACTTGGTGAGACCTCATCTCTACAATAAACAATAAAAAAAATTAGCTGGGTGTGGTGGCATGTGCCTGTAGTTCCAGCTACTTGGAAGGCTAAGGTGGAAGGATCGCCTGAGCCCAGCAGGTCGAGGCTATGGTGGCTGTGAGCATGCCACTGCACTCCAGTATGGGCGACAGAGTGACTCCAACTCAAAAAATAAAATAAAATAAAATAAAATAATGCTACTAATGTGGAGTTTACTTCCTCATTTTTTGGAGACAGGGTCTCATTATGTTACCCAGCCTGGTCTTGAAGTCTTGGCCTCAAGTGATCCTCCTGCCTCAGCCTCCCCAAGTGCTAGGATTACAAGCATGAGCCACCACATCCAGCTGGCATTTTCTTCTATTTCAAAGATGTAAGTGACAGGCATTGCCCAATGCTGGGTTTTAAATGCGCTCTCATTGTAAGTCCAGAAAGGTCACTCAAAACTACAGCTGTTCACACCCAAGTGGGGCCTGGAAGAGAGCACAGTGCCAGCTCACCATGCTGTCGTCCTCCATGTCATTGGCTGAGAGGGTCCAGAGTTTGGCAGCAGCAGGGTCCACAGCAGGCTTCACTTAGTCCAATCAAGAAAGAAAAAGAGCTCCATAGAACAGTCAGAAACAAACTACAAACACACATAAGTGCTTTCTAGCATGGAAAGAACACAAGGGGCTGCAAGTCGCAGACCTGGGTTAGAGGCCCAGTCTGCTCCTGGAAGAGGCCTGACCTTAGGCCAATCATTTTATGATAGTAACAGAAGTTACCACTTGCTAAGCACGTGCTTTGTACCAGATACCATATTAAGTGTTTTCTGTACATTATCTAATTTAACCCTGCTAACAAGCTGTCATCCTAATTTTACAGCTGAGGAAACAGGTTTAGATACTTAAGTCAGTTTTGCAAGGCCACAAAGTCTAAAGCTTTTAACTCAAAGACTTCACAAATAGCAAAGCTTTAGCCACACATAAGCCTGTCACATACAAGAAAATAGGCTCTAGAGCTGCTGGTTGCAAGTTCACAGTCAGTGACAGATGTAAACCTCACACCTCCTGATTTTCTGTCTAGGTCAGAATGCAATGAAAGGCCTGAGAGCTGAGACAGGGATTCAGTGTGGGCAAATCTTCAAAGGTCCTTGAGATAAGAGCACCCTCTAGTGACGGCCATCACAACTGGATGCTCAGATCTGCAACAGGGCTGATTGCTCTTCTAAGCTATTACTACCTTCCCATTCTGGAACTTTGAATCCAAGGTTAGATCCCAAAGCATTTCTTGAAGATTCACAGTCAAAATAGTGCAGTGTGAAAGTACCAGTAAATGTCTGTAAATTTTTGCAAACATCACAGGCTACACAGTCAAAATAGTGCAGTGTGAAAGTACCAGGAAATGTCTGTACATTTTTGCAAACATCACGGCCAAGACAACTCAGGCAATAAAAAACAGTGACAGGAAGGATGAGAGTGTTGGCAGTGTGTGTGTGCACGTAAGAACATAATTTTCTGGACAGAAGAAACACAATTTTATAAGTGTCTTAGGATCCTCAAAACAGTAAAAGCTGACTTGACTGGCATAGGGGAAAAAAAACATGAAAACAGGAACAGGGTACTCTTATCCACCATGACCACTACCTGGAGGTCTTCTGAGGGTAAATGTTGTAATTCTGGGGCCTGGAAGGGCTTTGTTAACTAAACTACGTGACGCAGCCCCCTAGAATCGGGAAGCTTCAGGTGCAGAGGAGGAGCTGAGCCAGACAGTGTCCATGTATTGTTTCAGTGTTGGATCCTAACATGCCCATGATAATAATACATTAAGCATTCTTCTATTTGGAAATGACAGATATCAAAGAAGGACTAATCCTCCATTTATCACCAGTTCAATTTTTCTTACGTACTATCCCTAGGCCAGCCTTACCTGAAGAAGATGACTTCTTGGCAATAGAAAGCTTAAGCTGACTAGAAGAACCCACTTCAAAGTTTGGCTTTTTGCCTGTGATCTGAACAGACAACAGGTTGTCACTTTTATAACCCAGGTGTTCTTGTACAAACTGTACCTCTTCTGGGCTTAGGGACACTCGCTGCAGCTGAAATTCAAGATATCAAAAGGATTAGTCCAATCTCTTATAAAATGTTTTACTATGTTCACCTATACAGGAGTTACTCATTCTGGGTAGTAAGTATGTAATAGTAGAAGGAAACAGCTATTACCTCATGCCTCACATTCAGTTTCTCGCTGAGCAGAATCCTAGAGTATAACTTTTGTCATTTACTTTGAGTCTACCCTTTGGAAAGTTTTAAAGTATTTATCAAATGTTAGGGACAAGGCATTATGTTAGTCATTGTGGGGGCTGTAATGACTATGATTATGAAGATGAATTAGACATGGTCCTGTTGTATAACAGGTCAGCATGCTCACAATAAAGGTAGTAGAAATCTCTATCTCAAGAGAGAAGAGGAAGGGAAATCCTTCCTATGCTCCTTGGGATGAAGTGGTAGGTAGTAAAGATAGAAAAAGTAGGTCAGGATGCCACCTCTATGTGGAATAATTATAGACTGGTTAAATAAATCATAGTCCACCTATTACATGGAAAGCTGTTACATCATTAGTAAGGATGAAGGAAAATACACGGAAGCACATAAGTGTCTGCAGTATCTGAGAGTGGGAAAAAAGGTGGTGACTGAACAACATAAACATTTGATCATTAAAAAATATGTATGTGCATGTATGCTTGTAAATACATAGGAAAAGGTCTCAACAGATGCACAAAAGTGCACTGGTGGCTTCCTCTAGGAGGGAAGTGTGAACAAGGACTGGGACATCACTTTATATTCTACGTCCTTCAGAATAAATTGAATTTTTACAATAATTCCTTATTTTAGAATCAAACACACAGAAAAACCTTAAACTAAAAGAAAAAGGGTCGGCATAAAGAAACTAAGGTCCTTGACCATATAACAAATGTGGTGTAACAACTGCCATGGTATAACATTTACCTCTCCCATAACCAAAAAAATTGTAGGCCGCCACCATTGCAACCGTTGCCTTACTAAACTCTGGTGTGGCCATGTCCTCTTTGAGCTATGTCCTCTTTGAGCTGTCCATGCTTCCTGGCTTTGACTACCTCCCCTACCCTGGGGAAGTGAATCTCCTCTTTCTCTAATTTACTTTCTAAATAAACTATATTTTCTAATGATAAAAAAAAAAAAGAAAATTGTAACACTGGAGAAGAATGGAGAAATAGAAACACCTGTTAAATATCTCCAATTAATTGCCAGAAATGGGATTTCTCCCCCACAACCTACTCTAGCATTCCACCAAAAACGTGAGGCAGGTCCCGGGTGGCTGGTCCCGAGGTTTCACCCGGGCATAGGATTTGGGTCTACTGAGATGGGTGTTGCAAATAGGACAGCTGCTGCTCTCCCTGTCTCAGTTGTCACTGTCACTAAACCAGCACTGAGGAGACCAGAACAAGCCCCAACCCACATAGACCCAAGCTGAGTCTCTTCAAAGGAGATTTATTCCCAGAGGTCTTGTCCTTCGAGGCATCACATATCTCACATGGGTAGTACCTCTTGTTTCCTAGTTCTAAGTAATACTGATCACCTCACCCGCAGGACTGTCATTTCCCTGATTGTTCTGACAAGGAGACTCAGGGGTTTGGTCACCTAAGGTTTAAATTACTAGCAAAGAAGGTTATCTACAAACATACCTCTTTTACTTCCACAAGACCAGAAAGAGTCAGGGCAGAACACAGCTTAGATGCTGTCTTCACTTTGCAATTGTTAACTGCCAAGAAAAAAAATCTCAATTAATAGCTTTAGGCCAAAGCAGGAAAAATAATAAAGACTCAAATCCTATGTGGGTCAGCACACATTCAAACAATAATGGCCTTTTGTTTAATGTAGAGATGGTCCCTGACTTACAATAGTTGTACTTACAATTTTTCTGACTTTATGACAGCGTGAAAGCAATACACATTAAGAAGTAACCATACTTCAGCACAGATTCAATAAATTACATGAGATATTCAGCACTTTATTATAAAATAGGCCTTGTGTTAGATGATTTTGCCCAATTATAGGCTAATGTTCTGTTCTGAGCATATTTAAAGTAGGCTAGGCTAATCTATGATTTTTGGTAGGTTAGATATGTTCAACTTATTTTTTACCTATGGTATTTTCAACTTAATGGTGGGTTTATTGGGATGTAGCCCCATCTTAAGTTGAGAAGCACCTGTATGTATATTTTAGTGATAGCATTTTAATTTGACAAATCCTTTTGGTTGTTCAAAGTACTCTTACCTATGCTCTTAAATGTTATAATTCCACTGTTATTGCTTCTTATCACGCTCTGCTTCTGGGAAACCCCTTCCAGGGGTTGTGGGATAATGACTGTGAAAGAAGCTTATAAACTGCCAAGGGCATAGATAGTCAAGTATTCTCTCTGTATAGTCCTTTTTTTTTTCTGAGTTGGAGTCTCACTCTGTTGCCCAGACTGGAGTGCAGTGGTATGCTCCCGGCCACCGCAGCCTTGACCTGCTGGGCTCCAGCAATCCTTCCGCCTCAGTCTTCCAAGTAGCTGGAACTATAGGCACACACTACCATGCCCGGCTAGTTTTTGCTTTATTGTAGAGACAAGGTCTCGCCAAGTTGCCCGGACGGGTCACGAACCTGCGGGCTCAGACAATCCACTCGCCTCGGCCTCCCAAAGTGCTGGGATTACAGACTGAGCCATAGAGCCCAGACTCTGTACAGTTCTTATAGAGACACTGTGTTTAGTCACCCAAGGAAATAAAACAAAAGGCTGTATTTTCACATAAACAAACGAACATCTTTATACATTTCAAAATACTTTCATTTCTATCATCTTTTTTTTGAGTTGGAGTCTCACTCTGTCTCCCAGACTGGAGTGCAGTGGCATGCTCTCAGCCACCGCAGCCTCGACCTGCTGGGCTCCAGTGATCCTCCCGCCTCAGCCTTCCAAGTAGCTGGAACTACAGGCGCGCACTACCACGCCCAGCTAATTTTTTTATTTATTATAGAGATGAGGTCTCGCCAAGTTGCCCAGGTGGGTCTTGAACCCGCGGGCTCAGGCAATCCACTCACCTCAGTCTCCCAAGGCTTGGGATTACAGGCTGAGCCACCGAGCCCGGCCATTTCTATCATCTTATTTGATGAAATAAATCACGTTTTGATGGAAAATCTAGTGAAAAATGCTAAAAAAACAATTAAAAATTGAATCACTTTGACAGCTACACCACTGAGCAAAAAAGAGGTTTTTATTTCCTGGACATTGTTATTAATTTCACATGAATCAAAAATTATCTCATCCCTCCCAGACTTCAGCCATTATTTTAAAACTTTTTAGCCTGAAATAACTATAGGTTCATGGGAAGCTGGGAAAAAAAATGCTCAGAGAAGCCCATGAACCCTTCATCTCATCTCCCCCCATGGCAATATCTTATGTGAGTACAATCAGGGCAATATGAAGACCAAGAAATTGATACTGAGAGTCCACAGCACTTATCCAGATTTTACCAGTTTTATGTGCACTCATTTGTGTGTATGTGTGGCTCTATGCAATTTTATCATGTGTAGATCTGTGTAACGACCAACGCAATCAGGACACAGAATTGTTCCATCACTCCAAGGAACCCTTATACTACCCCTTTACAGCCACATGCACCCTCTTCCTCCCATTTTTTATTTTTAAAAAAATAGTTTATTTATGGGTATTCTGCTTAATCTCCAAACATGTAGAGATGTATTAACTGTCTTTCTTTCTCCCCCCCCCCTTTTATTTTAAAGATGTGGGGTATAAGTCAAGATTAGGTACATAAGTGGTCTATGTACAGGGGAGGTTTGGGCCTCCCACTGGTCCTCATTTTGCCTGGTTTAGGAATAGGTACCCTTAATGATGTTGAATCTTAGAGCTTGAAGACCAAAATGTGGTACCTCGTTCCCATTTCTAACCTCTGGTAACCACTAAGCTGATCTTCACCACTATAATTCTGTTATTTCAAGAATATGATTACAGCCAGGCTCGGTGGCTCAGCCTGTAATCCCGCACCTTTGGGAGGCTGAGGTGAGTGGATTGCCTGAGCCCGCGGGTTCGAGACCCACCTGGGCAACTTGGCAAGACCTCACCTCCACAATAAATCAAAAAATTAGCTGGGTGTGGTAGCGCGCGCCTGTAGTTCCAGCTCCTTGGAAGGCTGAGGCAGAAGGATCGCTGGAGCCCAGCAGGTTGAGGCTGCAGTGGCCGGGAGCGGCCACTGCACTCCAGTCTGGGCAACAGAGTGAGACTCCAACTAAAAAAAAAAATTAGAATCATACAGCACTGAACCTCTTGAGATTGGCTTTTTCATTTGGCATTCTTTCCTTGAGATCAATGCAAGCTAATGCACATAGAGCCAGCTTGCTCCTTTTTATTATTGCCTCGTTTACCATGTTATGAACATACCAAAGTTTAACCACTCACCTGCAGAAGGACCCATTTTTAGATGGCAGTTTCCTTCTATTTTATTACATAATGGGTTAGCCAAAGATCACAATTTCTTCAGATTTGCGGCTTTAGATTTTAACAATATTTATATCCCCAAGGAGAAGGTCTGCCATAGGAATATTGACCTCCAAATCATAGCTTCTGCTCAGAGGGAGGTAGCCAGCACACTCAAAAGACTCAAACCTGTCAAATCCAACTTTCAAGTGAAGACTGCCTTACCTACAGTTGTTTCTATTGGCTCTTTCAGAATAAGACATCCACCAGGCCGAAGGATCCGGGCCATCTCAGCCAAAACCTCAGCACTGTGCAGAGTGGTGCTTCCCGGGATGATACCCGACAAAATAATGTCAAAACTGGATTCTTTGTGGGCAGCTGAAAGGGAGACTTTAATCAGCAATCACCTGACCTGAGGCAATCCCCAATCCCTCCCAAGCTCTCCAAAGGATACTGGCCTTGCCCTGGGAGAGTGAACACCGAGGTATTCATTCAAAAAGCTGGATGAAGAATAAGCTTTAAAAAAAAAAAAATGTTGAATGGCTGGACATGATAGCTCATGTCTGGAGTCCTAGCACTTTGGGAGGCTGAGACAGGAGGATCACCTGTGGTCAGGAGTTTGAGACCAGCATGGGCAAGATAGTGAGACCCTGTCTCTACTAAAAATTAAAGAAAAAAAAAGATCAAGTATGGTGGCATGTGCCTTTTAGTTTTAGCTACCCAGGAGGCAGAAGGATCACTTATCACTTGAGCCCAGGAGTTCAAGGTTGCAGTGAACTATCATCATATCACTGCCAGGGTGACAGAGCCAGACCTAGTCTCTTAAAAAATAAAAAAGTAGAGGCCAGGCACAGTGGTTTTCACCTGTAATCCCAGCACTTTGGGAGGTGGAAACAAGAGGATTGCCTGAGCCCAGAGGTTCAAAATCAGCCTGGGCAACTTGGCAAGACTACATCTCTACATTAAATCAAAAAATTAGTCAGGTATGGTGGAGCTTGCCTGTGGTTCCAGTTACTTGGAAGGCCGGAGGTGGAAGGATTGCCTGAGACTAACAGGTTGAGGTTGTGGTGGCCATGAGTGTGCCACTGCACTTCAGCTTCAGCTTGGGTGACAGAGTGAGACTTCAACTCAAAAAAAAAAAAAGGAACAGCTACTAAGAAACAAGAACATACAGCTGGGCATTCCAGTCTGGGCAACATAGTGAGAACCTTTATCTCTAAAAAAAAAAAAATTTTTGTTTTGTGTTTTTTTGAGTTGGAATCTCACTCTGTCGCCCAGGCTGGAGTGCAGTAGCACACTCATGGCCACCCCAGCGTCAACTTGCTGGGCTCTGGTGATCCTTCTGCCTCAGCCCTCCAAGTAGCTGGAACTACAGGCGCGTGCTACCACACCCAGCTAATTTTTTATTTATTGTAGAGACGAGGTCTCACCAAGTTGCCCAGATCGGTCTCGAACCCACAGGCTCAGGCAATCCACACGTCTCGGCCTCCCAAAGTGCTGGGATTACAGGCTGAGCCACCAAGCCCATTCAAAAATGTTTTTTTAAAATTAGCCAGTTATTTGGGAGGCTGAGACAGGAGGGTCACTTGAGCCCAGGAGTTTGAGGTCACAGTGACCCATGGTTGCGCCACTGCACTCCAGTCCGGGCAACAGAGAAAGACCTTATTTCTTGAAGAAAAAAAAAAACCTAACAGAAATAATCAACTACACTCCCAAGTTCACTACAGCTCAACTGAAAACAACAGGGTGACTAGGCACTACTATCACATGCCACCCAAAACAAAAACTCAGGTATCAAGGAACCATAGCAACACAGCACTACCACCAAAACCCCTCAGCCCCATAAAGACAACATGGGTGGGTACTTACACTGCAACAGCTGGTTGATGTTTTCCACAGACACTCGGCCCTCGTTGCCAGTTAACACTTGAAGCTTATCCACCAGATCTTTCAGGGCCTCTACTGGGCATGACTTATCCCAGACCACTGCCACCAACTGGCCAGCTGAGATCCCAAAATTAGCCATCCCTGTAGTGCTGATGGACCGTAAACTACGGGCCAAAAGAGAATCAAAAGTGAGCAGAGACAAAAGCGCAATGTAACCCACGGGGTATCACTAAAGGCGATTAGAATTACAGCCTACTTCTGACCTCCCACTAGGGAACACTGATAGCGTTAGAAATCTTACTGTAGGTGCTATGGAGTCTGAATAGAGGAACCCCCTTATCTCAAGGCTTCATAACCTCAACATACCCAAGAAAGCAGTTAGCTTCCTTGGTGAGAATCCTGACAGGCAGAAAGATTACTTCCTCTTTGATTTGGGACAACTCAGCTTGAGTGGAATATAAAACACACAGGATATCAATCAGGCAAAGTGTGACTCAGCAAGGAAGGCAAATCAATTGGCAGACATAACCCAATCACAAGCTTAAAGTTTTTAAAAATAGAGACAACACATTTGAAATTTGCAAACTGAACACTGGTATTTTCTCTTTCACCAAAATAAGAAAATTCAATTTCACTGAATCTACAGTGACCAAGAATATCCATTATATATTTAACATTTACTATTAGTCAGCCATTCAAAGAACCTTACATACATCATCTAAAATGAACCTCAGAATGGCCTCAAACTAGGTATTATTACCATTTTACAACCAGGAAACTAAGGCAATTGACTTTGTCCAAGTCACATAAACAGTAAGCACTATATAGCTAATATAAGAGCTGGGATTTAAACTAAATCCATGTGACTGCAAAGCCCACGCTTTAAATCTATGGAAATTTCCCCTGTGGGTCACCTTTCTCTTCCACCTGATACTTAAGTGAGTATACAATATGCTCACAATGAAATCGGGTCAAGAGATAGCACTCTACTCAGTTCTTCCTTTCTTTCTTAAACATTAATGAAACCACTTTACGATTTAAAAAGCCCAAACAAATGAAACAAAGACAGAAGCTGCAGTAGAGGTGTCAAGGCTGTATTGGTCTTATGCTGAATGCTTTGACTTCTGCAGAGGTAGCAAAATCAGTGATAGTTATGCTGCCAGACACTCGGGGACTGAATGTAAGTTGTCACTACACTTTTGCTTCTTCAAAACAGTTCACTTCAAAAAATTTTCCTCTTTGTCCACAAAACATGCCCAAGATGTTAAATACTTGAGCATTAAATACTACAACACGTTGTCACTCATTTTCTTCTTTTTCTTTTATTTTTTAGAGACAGGATCCCAATTTGTCTCCCAGGTTGGAGTGCACAGGTGTGATCAAAGTTTGAACCTCTGGGCTCAAGAGATCATCCCACCTCACCATCCTGAGTAGCTAATTTTATTTTATTTTATTTTCTGTGGAGATGAGGTCTCACTATGTTGCCTAGGCTGGTAGTGAACTTCTGGGCTCAAAGCAATCCTCATGCCTGGGCCTCTAAAAGTGCTGGGATTACAGGCATGAGCTACCACACCTGGCCTGTCATTCATTTTCTAAAGGAGTTACTAAAAGTTTTATTTTTTTAGAGCAAAATCAAAACTCCTTAGCCTTCTGGATCCAGGTCCTCTATAATCTGACTCCTCCTGTCTCTCCCAAGACTCCAAAGTGAAGTTCTCCTTACTCTATGAAAACTCTGCATTTTCCCTCCACCAAGCCTTTTATCTTGCTCTTTCCAATGCCTACCCTTTATTGTCCTGACTGGACTGCAAGCCCTCTTAAAAGGATGCCAAGTGTTATCAGACAAGTAAGATTATTTAGTCACTTAATTTTGGTTTTTAAATTCCTCAAAAGTGCACAATCAAGAACTGAAACTTTTAAGCTTTTAACTGTCACATGATGTTAAGGAAGAACTCTTGCAAACTTTAAGGTGAATAACTTGAGATCAATCTCTCAATTAAGAACCAGCCAGGGAAGAGAAGAGTATGGATTGCTGGGCTTTAAGTTACAAGAAAGAAATCATCTGTTTCTAGAATGATGTTGGAACAGGTTCTTTCTCGGAACAAAGAGATGACAAGAACTCTGCCCACCACTCACTACTATAACCTTGTAGTGTACTCACAGAAAAACCCTCAGGAAGGAAACAAGGAGCAAGTTACTTATTAGCTAGAGAGATACAAAAAGCCACATGTCTAGGCCTTTTCAGGAACATTTACAACAGTTTTATAGGACACAGGTTTTGAGCCCAGATGAACTGAGGTCCTACCTACCACTGGATTTTTTTGTTTGTTTTTGAGTTGGAGTCTTTGTAACCCAGGCTGGAGTGCAGTGGCACACTCACAGCCACTGCAACCTCCCCTGCTGGGCTCAGGTGATCCTTCCACCTCAGCCTTCTAAGTAGCTGGAACTACAGGTGTGTACCACCATATCTGGCTAATTTTTTGATTATACAGGTGTCTCACCAAGTTGCCCAGTCTGGTCTTAAACACCAGGGCTCAGGCAGTCCTCTTGCCTCTACCTCCCAAAGTGTTGGGATTACAGGCATGAGCCACAACACCCAGCTACTACTGGATCTTACTGGGTACATGACCATGGGTAAGTTATTAGCCTCTTTGAGTCCATTTTCTCATCAATAAAGTTGGTATAATAACCTCTTATTTCTCAAGGCTAATGTAAGAAGTCAATGAGAAGATATAACATGTAAGGCACTCAGCAGGGTTTGGTACATGGAGCTCAATCTAATGTTCTAAGAGAACTCTGAGCACCCACTTCTCAGTGACTGGTTTACTTCCTTTGCTTCAAATATACCTATAAAATCCTGTTTCTCCTTCACCAGGCCTGCCAGGAGGCCTCTCCAGGGAATGATGTGAGCTCCGTTTTCATTGCTAGAATTACACGGTATAAGATCACACTCCACGACAGACATCTTGGGCAGTACTCCAGTGGGACTGTGTCAGTTAGAAGAATGAAGAATGATTTGCATTCCATATCCCCCAAAACAAGTCCTGTGGCAAGAGGGAGCTTATAAAATACATATATTAAACATTAACCCCCAAAAGACAGACACAATCATTACTTTTAGTCAGCATTTTCCAGATAAAATAGGAGATGATGTTCTTTAAGATATCTAAAAGCCAGAATGGGATAGTGTTCATCATCAGTTTTGTGTTATTGTTGTGAATCTGTCTTAAAAAAAAAAACCAATAATAATAATAAGGAAAAACGTCAGGCACCTAAGCCAACATATTTGGAAGCGGTGACTCAGGGTCCAGTTTCATAACAAAAGGTGTTGTCAGTCACGTCCTTGAGCTTGTTAGCTATCTCTCCATCTCTGACTGCTGCATACACATGACTATGGCTTTCCTACAATGTTGTTTGCAGGCAGGAATAGCATATGTCTGAGAATAACCTCTGGGGATGCACTTATCTATTCTTAAGGTACCTAGCAAGCACCAAATCTTGAGGCCTTAGGTCCCTCTTAAGGGTGAAGGGCCAAAAGAAAAAAGTAAGACTGATATTTGGACTTCAGTTCAAGGAATTCTTTTAAGTCAGATGCATAAAAGATTCAGAGAATACTGGCAATAATCAGAAAGTAAAATGTTAATTGAAAGCCGGGCTCAGTGGCTCAGCCTGTAATCCCCCGCCTTTGGGAGGCTGAGGTGAGTGGATTGCCTGAGCCCCGGGTTCGAGACCCGCCTGGGCAGCAAGACCTCATCTCTACAGTAAATCAAAAAATCAGCCAGGCATGGAGCGCATGCCTGTAATTCTGGCTACTTGGAAGGCTGAGGCGGAAGGATCGCCGGAGCCCAGCAGGTCGAGGCTGCGGTGGCCGGGAGCGGCCACTGCACTCCAGTCTGGGCGACAGAGTGAGACTCCAACTCAAAAAAAAAAAATGTTAATTAAAATTAACAGACCAAAGCTTGAGTGCACACAGAGACAGAGATGAAGTTCTTTTAAACTTCATCTTTTGAAGTGAGAATCAACAAGGAAACAGGAAACTCAAGAGGAAAAGGAAGAGAAGACTATGCCTTCAAGAATTTGGTGTATTGGGAATGAAAGATCTCAGAAAGGACACCCAAGGGTCAGTTTCCACAGGAAAGGCCCATTCAAAGATGGGTGGACAGGACTCAAAGACACAAAACCTCATGGAGGGACTAGTAATGCCTTACCAAAATCCAGAGATATGGATCTGAAATGTTCACATTTGGGGAGAGTTTTTGGCTTAGGAAGTCTTCCCCTACACCAGTGTAGGGTGGGGGTGAGAATGGAGTGGGCGAGATGTTCTAAAAAGACTAGAGAAGGGGTGCGGGTGTGCACAACACAACTGCAGATACAAAGATGGGGTCTAGCTGCAAAAGCACAAAACGGATAGAATTACACATTCCTGGTGGTCAGTTACCCCTAACCCCAAACCCATTCGCTTTTGCCCATCCAGCCTTCCCTGGAGACGCCCCAGCTCTGCAATCACACTTCTGCTCAGCGACTAGGTCATGACCTCCCCAAGCTACCAGAGCTGGGGACTTAGGTCATGTCAGAATGAAGGACACCAGCCTCTCCCAAACGTGCGGATTCTGTAGATCAGAGGGCACTGGCTAGGAGACCTCTGGGCCCCTCCCAGGCGCGCGGACCCAACTCTCAGAGAGAAAGATCCGAGATCCGACTTTGAACACGCACCCTTCCCATCTGGCAAGTCTGGGAAATACTCAACTATATCAATTCAACACCTTGGGGGTTCAGCCAAGTCACAGGGTCAAAACTGTCATCTGTGGGCTCCCGTACCCCAAGCTTTCGTGCTGTGCTGCCAATTGCCTCTGTGACCGAAACTTCGTGAGGACTGAGGCCCCAAGGTCACAACAGCTGGCTGATGGAGCACCCAGTTCTCCGGAACCCCAGCCCGGGCGCTTCCCCCTCAGTACAGGGCGCAGGGCCCGAGGGAGCCTGGCAGGGGTCGTCCTGCTCAGGGGCCCAGGGCAGGTACGGCCGGCTTCCCGGGCATTATCCCACCAGGGCTCCCAGCGGGACGGCCTCGGCTGCGTTCCCACGAGGGGCAGGGGTGGGAACAGAAAACGGGAGGATGTGGGGCCGAGGGTGGGCCGGGAGGGGACAGCTGGGGGAAGTCAGGCTCTCGGCGAACGCGGACCGCTCTCACCTACCGCCTAGGTTCGCTCCGGGTTTCTCCGCAACCGCCGGCTCGCGCCTCGCGCCTCTCGCGAGAGGAGAGCGCTCCGCGGCGTGGCCACTTCCGCCCTCTCGCGCCGCGGTCCCGACGCTGCTCGTCGCGTCGCCGTCGGCGCCGTGCCCGTTTCCAAGATGGCGGCGGCGGCGGCGGCGGCCGTGT